CATACTGTACCTACCCGCTTGCTTGTGATTCGATCGTTGCTTGTCATGTAAGATATCCGACACCTCAAGTATGGATGCCGTTCCCCAGGCCAAGCTTCTGAAAGACAGGAAAATTCGACATTAGACTATACATCACGGTCGGTCCAAAACTTTTTGCTTTTTGGCTTTTGGTCTGTGCAATGTACCACTTAGCCATATGGTTAAATAGACCCGAAAGGTATCGGGCTCATATATATATATATATATAGGCTTCACCGTAGAAGAATTCCGTAGAATGCTTAACATAGAAGCCACATGAAGTGCAGGGTTGGGACACTGACCCGGCTTGGATTACAGTTGGTACATGGCTAGCAAAAGTGAGGACACGGCTTCAGTTAGAGCAGGTACTGGCCAGTCAAAGTGAGAACGCGGCTTGAGTTAGAGCAAGTACCTGGCTATTAAGAGTGATGGGGCGGCTTGAATTAGAGCAGGTACCTGGCTAGCAAAGGTGAGGACGCGGCTTGGCTTTAGGCAGGCACACACCTAGCAAAAGAACACGGCTTGGGCTGGGGGCAGGTGCACGGCTTGCAAAACTGAGAAACGGCTTGGGTTTGGGTGTTCTTAGCTGAAGTGCTCGGATATTTGGGTCCACCAAGGTCCTCCCTCCTGATACCTGCAGGGCGTGTTCAATGGCCCGAAAACCTGGCAAGCCTTCCCAATAAATTTGGGTGGGGCAAAGCACTCGACTCTGGGCACTTGGGATGGGTTTGCACTACCCAGATAAAGGACCATGAGGAAAAACCCACAGAGACGGACCCAGTGGACCTTCATATGCTCGGAAGCGTCTCAAACCAGGTCCTCTCGGGAAAGTCCTAGAAAAGTCCTCGGAAGTCTTCGGGAACGGTTCAGAAATACTCGGCAGTCCCAAGCCGTGTTCCCTCGGAAGTCCCCGGAACTCCTCGGAAGTCCCAAACCGTGTCCGCACAAGGAAGTCTTCGGAAGTCTTCGGACGTCATCAAAACTTTTCGGAAGTCTTCGGAAGTCCCAAACCGTGTCCTCTCGGACAAGTCCTCGAAAGTCCTCAAAACTTCTCGGCAGTCCCCAGCCGTGTCCTCTCGACAAGTCTTCCAAGTCTGGACAGTGTCCTCTCCGAGACTCCTGTTTGGTAATGATAAGCATTCTACGGAACACGGCTTGGGACTGCCGAGTACTTCCGAGAAGTTCCGAAGACATCCGAAAACTTCCGAAGACTTTCCCGAGAGGACACGGTTTGGGACTGCCGAAGAGTTCCGAAGAGTTCCGAGGACTTCTAAGGGTTTCCCCCAAGAGGACACGGTTTGGGACTTTCGGTGACTTTCAAAAAGTTCAGAGGACTTCCGAGGACTTCCCCGAGAGGACACGGTTTGGGACTTTCGAGACACTTCCGAAGACTTTGCTGTGAGGACACGGTAGAGGGGCGGACTGGGGCGGGTGGGGGAAGGGGTCCCCCCGACCCCCCACCCCCCGTCTACGCGAGTCCACGCAAGTCCGCGGGCTGACATAGGACTTTCCAAATTGCCAGTCCGCCCCCTTCCCCACTCCGTCCCCCCCCCCGGCCCATCCTGATGTGTGCGGGAGTCCGCGCAAGTTATTAAAAGATTGAGCCGCATCGAACTATGAGACATTATGGACCGAGCCGGATCCCTGATTGAAGTCTTTGTTAGACTAGACCGTATCGTTTCTGCAATGGGCCGGCTCCGACATTCAAGCCTTTACATACTGAGCCGTGTCGCCGTTTGAAGTTGTTGATCACTAACCGTATCCATGTTTGGTACGGGAACTGACTGCACTCATCTCACTCAATGATACGCATTCCACGGGGTTCTCAATATATATATATATATATACATACATACATACATACATACATACATACACACAAACATGCATGTGTGTGTGTGTCCTGCATCCCTGCTGAAGATCCTGTACGTAAAGTATGGTCCAGTTGCCCGTGGCTTATGCCTTTTTTTCCAGCCTGCTCGGTGTTCCAAACGCATGTGCTTGTTAGTTTTGTTGTCTACACTGTCCATGTTCACGACGGACATGCTGGCTAACTCTGAAGACTGCAGTTCATCTTTCAGCAGTTGTCTGCAGGCTCCGGGACAAACAGTGGACACCTGGAAAATTCGTCAATTGTTGAAAAATAAAGCCTCATTCAGGGGTTCCAACGGTTGCTGGCTCGCAATTAACATACCGGAAAGGGAAGCCTAATTTACAACGGCACCCAAATGGGACACAGATTGTCAGATGCCCCTCCAGGACCAGCGGAATTCGCGTGAAGGTTCGCTCTAATTGGAGAGCCCCACTGACACGGAGACATGTCAATGTCTTCCTTTCTTGGACCTCATGCTGCGTGCAAGGCCGAGTCCTTCGCTGCAGGTGCCAGACCACAGGCACACACTACGAATTTAGTCTGGACTCCACCTCTCGGAGTCTGCAGGGACGCACCAGAGCAGGTCCAGCATATCCCAGGAGCCGGCGAGGTCATGCCACAGACCCAGGACCTGTGGGTTGTCGGAGTTTATGTGACGGACTTGACTTGAAGCGAGGACTTTCAACATCGTGCTTCGGATGCACGGCCTTCGGATCTGCATTAAATCTTACACCTGTGATCTGCTTGCAAAATCTTGCAAAAGGTTCGCCATCTATCAAAAGCTTCTTACGGAATGCACGGCGCTTCTTGGGCTTTCAGCTTCAGGATTAGGATGCCGAGCTGAGAAGCCGAGAAGCGAAAAGAAAGCAACACACCGTCCGCAAGTAGTAGGACTCCACCTGAGGCAGAGGCCTAATACAACTCAGGGATTCCTTGCCCTTGTCGCCTTCAGAGCATATAACAAGCAGTCTGACGTCGGTCATGTCTTTACAAAGGGCGCGCCAGTCCGCAAACATCCCCAATCTCGTCGAGGCATCTATTTGCAGGAGCCCGTCTGAGTCATGCGAGCAGCCCCATATTCTCCTGGATCAATTTTCTCCATGATCTCATGCTCCTTCTCTGGAAAAAGCAGCTTGAAGGAGTCCCTGACGAAGGTCCTGTTAGACCAGGCAAGCAATCTTTTGGGAAAGCCGCTGAGACTTCTAGGTCCTAGGTCCTCGCCTCAACACCTCACATAGCAGTACCAAGCCCAGCTGAGAGTAGCGCGCGAAAGGCTAATGAACCGAAGGTCCTTGTTGACCAGAGGTCGAAGTCGTAGAGCCGCGACCTTTTTCGGCCCACAGCATCGGGCTTCAAAAACTCTGACAAGCATGCTGCTTTGCCTACGCCTTGTGAATCCCCCTGTCCATGGTCATATGAACAGCCACGAGTCGGAGTGATTTCCGTTCCTCCTGGTCCCACGCAGTTCGATCCATGAGGGCAGTTCTGGTGATGCGCGGCAAAATCGCAAAGGAACCTCGGGAACCAATCACTTTCGATGTTGTGCTTTCTGAAATGATGTCGACTACCCGTGCTTCCTCAATCACACGGAGAACAAAGCTTGAAGGTCTGCTTTCACAAGCTGGCTTCCCAGGGATCTGAAGTCTCAGCCACGGCACATTTGACTTCCGAATTTGTTGATAATTCTCTCTTCCTTGCTGATCATGTACAGGAGAAAGCCTGCAGTTGCACCGGAACTGAGCTTCCCACTCTGCAGTGTAGGCCCGAGACTTTGGAGACCGTAGCAAACCCGAGGGTCTATGATTTGAGAGCGCGACATGCAGTATCATGCAAGTCTGTGCTTCCAGGCTGACCATCGCATGTCGAAGCTCAAGCAGGATGTCTATGCCTTGCAGGAGGTTGTTCATGATCATGAAGAGCAGACCGCGCAAGGCCAGGCCAGTGTACGAGATAGTCCATCCGGCACTTCCTGAGTTGAAGCTTCGCACTTCTCCACAGCATGCGCTGTTTATCTCAGGCCTCGCCAGCTGCCTTTGCTGTCGAGTGGCTTGCCAGCTGCGGAAGAGCCAGTGCCGCACCATAGACAGAGGTGGCATCCACTGTGGCAAAACCTGTGGTGATTCCAGGTTCGGCATCCCTATCATATCATTGGACATTCTCAGGCCACGGTGCCTGCAGAGTCGTGTCGCATCACTCTCAAAGCTTTCTCCGCAATCCATTGCCTGCACACAGCAGCCCCAACCAGAGTAAGGCAGGCACTCGACTTCAATCCTACATCAAACGTCTGCAAGCTTCCGAACCCACAAAGGCAGCAGTCGAGGCCCAACCTCTTTTAGCCCCTAACTGTGCCAAGAAGCTTCCCCGGATCCTCAAGAGCAAAGTCCAACCGTGGGCCTGCAGAACTTTGAGATGGTGGTAAAAAAACGCGCTGAGTCATGCTAGCCCCGCTTGTTTCTAGGCCTGGGCCAGCAGAAAACCCAGAAATCAACGCAGAAGTTGGACCAGGGGACGGCTGCTCGATTGGCCTGTCGGTTGCTGCGATCGGGCCGCCCGCTCGCCTCTTGGATTCAGAGATCCCTTATGCACGGCCGGAGCACGGCCTAACAAGTATGCCGCGCACGGGATCTAAGACCTTTGGTTTCTCAAAAGACAGAGGTATCTGGTGTGTAAAAGCGTGTTTTCCGGAATCGGGTGATTACCAGAGTCATTGGTCAGTTGTTTGGGTTTCAGGGCTGGGTGCTTAGAACCTGATTTTGTTGAGCTAGTCTTGCAAGCGTGAGGCTCGAGGCTCCGTGGTTCGACCATACTGATCAGCCTCGCAACACATCACACATCATCATCTTCAACAATATCTTCACAGAGCCGTGCAACGGCATCGTGAGAAAAAGGACGTTTATATGCCGAAGTGTAGCTCGACGTCATGGGGGAAATCATGAAGAGCTTCTGCCCGAGAAATGTGCCGACCGCCCAGGGACATCTTAAATATTCAGGCATACTAAAGAGCCCATCAATAGGAAGTTTAGCAACACGATAAAGACACTCACAGATCCCGCGCCCGCCAAGAGCATCTTCGGGCTGGTTGCAGGCAACGCTCACACGCGAACACGGCCTGGATTGCCCGGGCCGTTCGTTGGGCGTTCCACCGGTGCATCGGTGTTCGGCACCAGGCGGTAGCCATCGCGCGACGCTGGGTCCATGGTTCCATCAAGCTGCAGGCTGCAAGCAGCCAGATCCTAACCTGCTTCTGCTGCTGCACCCTACAACAGCGTCCAGAAAAGTCGGGGATGCCTACTTTTCAGGGCTGCGAACTGCGTGAGTCACATAGTCATCATACCTGCTGACAAATCTATGTACGCTTTTGGGTGCCGGTTCCGGCTGCTCGAGTATGGTACCTATGTTTAGAAGCCTTTGCACATCTGAATTCTGAACAGTTCAGCTGCAGATCAGAGAATAATCTGGGTACTGTGACATGCTGCAGCACCGGGGCTTCGCATGAAAAACCCACTCGGATGGGCACAAAGCGCTTCGTGCCCAGCATTGCCTTTGCGGCCCGCTTCGGCTCTGCCTCGGCGTCAACGCCAAGCCAAGACTGCGAAGACCCTTTTCAATGGTGAGCAGGACCGTTGAACTTTGAACTCCTGTGCTCTGGACCCATAGGTTTCTCTCCTTCGTAGCACCGACGACTGTGCTCGCGCAAGGATCCCTGGCATTCGTGTGCGCTGCATCGCCGGAGAATACCAAATCTGACGCTGTTCTCACACCAAAGTTGGACTGCATCAGTGCATGTGTGATCTAGGCTAGTCAGAGCAGCGTCCACACCGCCTGGGTCCTCCCAGCAAGCTACCACAAAGTCCACCTTCACTGCCATAAACCTGGGACATGAGGGCAAGAGGTCAACTGCACACGCTCGGGGTTGGCAAGCTTCTTGACTCGTCGGATGCTTGCAGAGGTTCAACGGCGACCAGTAGTCAGATACGTTTCTTCATATTTTATGTTGCTGCATGACACGACACAGCTCATGAGCTTCAGGCTTCACGCTTGCCAGCGCACCCTCGTCCGAGCTTCCAGCGCGTTGCGCAGGGTACCGCACGACATTCCGAGACGGCGGCCGGGCAGCCTCAACAAGAATTCATTTCGAGTCTTGAACCTGGCTGCTTTATCTGCGCATTGGTCCCAAACTACAAAGCTGGTGCCATCAGGCCTCACCATCGAACCACTCGACGCTCGCAGCAGATGGTGGCCTGGCAGGGACCGAATGAAGCCAACTTCAGGCTGCCAAGGTGCTGAAGACGTTGCAGGAACGTTTCAGATACTGCAAAAACAATTATGTGTCTCACGCAATAGCCATGACGGAGCGTCTCTTGAGATGCCGGGAAAACATACTCCGATGCCTTGAAGTTTGCCACCAAGAGTGGGGCGGAGTTGAAGGCGGAGTAAGACCTGAACATAGCAACTAAGCTCATGGAAACACCAAAAGATTCACCAAACCTTTGTTCAATTGAGTGGTCTAAACCCTCCGCAGATCGATACCTCTGCAAATCTGACCTGTAACTGCCTGTAACTGTCACCTTCCCGAACCTTCCCGTCGAAGCGTACTCAACGGAGAAGCCGAAGCTGCCTTCCTTGGATGATGATTTACTATCCGCATGGAAAAATTAACGACGAATTCAGCCGGCAGAGCTGCCAAAGAGTAACATCTTCAGCGACGACCTCCATGAAACCTAAGTACCCACTCAGGCTCGACTGCCGTCGCAGTCAATATCCACACGTCACATGCCAAACGAACAAACAAGCGCCTCGTCTCGAGTAGCTCCAATGACGAAGGAAGGCGACCAATCAAATACAGCTGAACGAGAAACACGGACACATGGTGGAGGCTGAATCTTGCATCTGCTGCGGTTCGTTGACATGTTCGTAATGACATATGGGAACTCCAGGAGTCCACATCACACAAACCATGTCTCTGCTGCATAAACACTGAGCAAAAACCCATCGAATCGGTTCCACAAGATGCACAAACAAATGCCAAACTTTTTGGCAAAATCTAACATGTCGTAGAAGGCGTTCGCGTTGATCTAGCCTCATGGAAAGATGCTTGTGATGAACAGCTACATCATTCTGTGATTTGACATGGGAGGTTTTTGGAGATGGCACAAAGCAAGTCCAATCTGTCATCACTTGACTGACACATCTGCTTTGCATGGCCGGAAATTGCAAAAATGTTCGTGCCTGGACCCATGCATTAACAGCACTAACATCGAACTAAAACTTTTTGCGCATGCATGGTCTCGCGTCGCGTGTCGGTACCCCCCCCCCACCCCCCCCCACCCCCCAATGGTAAAGCCCGAAATCCTCGTAAGGGTCGTACTTTTGTCTCAAAAGTGCCAACAATCACAGGGATGGGCCTCTCGAACCGGGGATCCTCGTGAGTGT